AATTTCAAGTATAATGTGACATGCCTCTTTTATGCCATGTTTAAATATACTCTGATAAATGAATTGTTATATGTGCCTAAATGATTTATTTGATTATTTCGGGGTATAGAAATGTGGTGTTACAAAAGAGGCATCGAGAGAGAGTGGATATGTCTCTTGATGGAGAAAAACTTGGACGAAGGCTTCAAGGTTTCAAAAAAGTGACATTCCTTACACAGCAGACGCAAATGGCAACTGTGACAAATGGGGTTGGGTTCTATTTCAGGTCACAACTGAAATTCAACAAAGCACTGAGATTATCGCAAAAACGTTATGTGGTTTTTCTTCTGCTAAGTTTCATATAAGAGTAGGAAACAATATTCTAAGATGTCTATTGAATTCCTTGGACTTTTGTGATATCACTTATTCGTTTCGTGTTGTATTCGTATCGTATTATGTGTCCAGGCTTCTAAGGTTATCTATCAAATTTGTAGACACTTTTGTAGAATATACCACATGAATACTGAAAAATCTTATAGCTGATATTTTGTTCTTGCAGTGGAGTTAGGGATTGATGATTCTGTTAATAAAGATGCATTAAGAGATCCTGGCATGGTTGAAGTGGATAACATGCCTGATGAAAGCAGAGAAGAAGAAAGTTCTGCCGAACCAACTTATAAACAAGACCAAGATGGTAACATGACCCACGATTTTTCTGGAGCGTTAACAATATCCTTAGTAGTTCTCCATTTTCGTTTAATTTCTATGTAACGATTATTAGCATTATGACTGCGTGATTTCATGGTTGAAGATTTATTTATTTTTTCTCTAATTTTGTTTTGATTCAAACAATTTATTTCAGATACCAATCAATAAATCAATATTTTATTTTACATATTTTCTAATTATTTATTTAAATTCATTTTAGCTTTCGAGTTAAAGACTACTGAAATTTATATTTGGATCTGCAGTACAAAGCAATGCAATAAATATTTGACATGTAAATATTGAAGGCGGAATATAGTGATTTTGTTCAATTTCTTTGTATCTTGGTGACCATGAGCAACAGAATCCTCAAGAATTGTCATTCAAAGGCCTTATATGTTACCCATAATGTTATGTGTGAAGCTACTGCAAAATTATGTTCCAAAGAATATTATGTTAGTGTTGGTAACTATAGATTTGGACTCTTTTACTTAGAAATCATTGATCTCAATTAGGTGGTTTATATATTTGATTTAATTATCATTTGTGTAGCTTTAGAATAAAATGTTTAGTGTAACAGAATTAGAATTAGATAGAATGAGATTTTATTTATTAAAATTTCTATTTAAAATATATCTTAATCTTATCTATACGGACGCAAGAGATCTTTTACTAGGTTTTTATTTAATTGATTATGTATTTCAACTTTTTCACTATAATGTTTAAAAAGTGATTGAAATATTTCATAAAATTACACGAGATACTATCAGTTAGATTCAAATAAATAAAAACCTGCATAAATATTACTCTTAATATACATTTGAATATACTTTTTCTTGTGAAAGTTAAATTTGATAAAATTATACTTTTTCCCATATCCGTGCGGACGTACGGGTCTTCTACTGGTTCATATTAGTAACTTGAAGCAACTTATGGTATAAAGATATACTACCACAACCACCTAGCCTTATCCCATAAAGTGTATTTAGCTACATGAATCAATTTTTTTTGCCATAATGTTTTATCAGATATAAAAGTACTGTACTATTTTATTCTATTTTCACAAAGAAAAATAACATATAATTTAAAATCAAAATAGGGACAAGCACAAGAAATGCCAGGACTCAAGATACATATGAACATTTCTTTTCTTATCATTGACAATCTGCTGCTATCCCAGTTCTAGTTGATATATGAGAAAAAGGAATATAAATTTGAATGTAAGTAAAGCTCTACCTTTTTTTCTTTTTCTATTTACACTGAAAGAAAATTTTCAACAAGGTAACTTTTTCTGTTGAACGAGAGAATTTCTCAATGAATCCTCTCTTGACATTGATTAATCTAATGCGCCCACTTGTTAGATTAATCCAACGGCCAAGCTATGCTGCACCTAATAGCCAAAGCATAATTAGAGATGATATTGAAGCTGATATCCAGCTCAAGATTGCAAAAACAACAGAAATCTGATACTTTTGGCACTCCTCTCCAAAATGGCAGTGTCCCATATCATTGAAGTAGAAAACTGTTATGCCAGCTGAGGCAGAAGCCACAGCTAGAGACAGTGTTGATATTACCTGTGGAATATGGACAACAGTAATCAATAACAAAACTTATCACAACCTCTGTCCTTAATTGTAAGTCTTATATTGAAATAAAACAAAATTCTCCTTCAATATAAGCCTCACTGTAAATTATAAATTGCATTTTTTTTTCTTTTCAGGTATATCACCAACTTTTCTAAACATAAGCCTCGTACATAAAGCGTGTACATTAATTACACTACGAAATCTTCTTAATATGTATAAAAGTAAGGCTGGCAAACGGGTATGTCTACCCTACAAAAAAATGGGGGCGGATGGACATAATTGAAGGTGCAAACCTTAAACATTGACCTACCCTACGAAAAAATGAGGGCGGACCTGCAGGCAGTGCCCCTCTAAATCCTTAAAATTGCAAATGTTTATGTTAATATCCACTCTTGGAAAAAAAAATGGGGCGGGGCAGCGCATATACATTAGAGGTGCGGACCTACAACCTTTGTCCGCCCTACAAAAAAGTGCGGGCCAGATCCATTTTGCCACCCTAATATAGTGTCAAAGAAGTTTATAAATAGTATAGAGTCACAAAGGTAGTAAACTGATAAGCATCATAATAAACAAGTCCCAATTGTGTCTAACAAACCAATTAGGAAAAGTATAGATTTACTAAGAAACTAACCCCATCTCCAACAGCATAGAAGCAAATCAATACAGGGTTAAGCAGGATCTTCTTTCTCACCAAAGCATGTGCATCCAACAAAGCAAGTGCGAAACTCCAAATGCTTTGTAAAGACATTGAAGCCATCAAGGAACTGCAAAAACAATTGAAAAGACCGTATTAAGATATTCCAATCCAACATTCAAGCATGGTTGTTGAAATATTGATGAACAATGCAAGTTTCTTAATTAAAGTTCATTGTAAAGTAAAATAGCTCATGGAAAAACTGTTTTTAACAATGTCAGAAAAACATTTACATAGATTTGACGAAAAAATAAGAAATTTGTGAATTAATCTCCATCCTTTATAAACACGCTTCTTTAAACTTAATCCCATACTTGTCTACAATTATTATTTTTAGGATTATGCTGTCAGATTCAAGATAATAAAAATCAGACCGGACATTGAACCAGTGTAGCTGCCGATTAAGGTTTAAAGTTCGACCGAGACATTTTCTTAACCAGAAAAAATCGGTAAACTATTGGTTTTGTCTGTTTTTTTTATACCAGTTTTCTGGTTAGTAGTCCGGGTTTCTGCCAAGGAAGTTAGTGGATTCATTTGGATCGAATGCGTGTCACGTTCTCTGTTGTCTATTCGACCGGTTGAACCAAGACTGATTACAATGGTCAGGCCAGATAATTCCCAAATTTTTATGAGGTGTGGAAGTGCAGCCAGACACTTCCAATTTTCTAGAAAAAAATCTAGCATCCAACTATACAGTATGCCCAAAATGAAACAAGTAAATTATCATTCAAAATAAAATTCATTCTCCTACTACTACGAAGCAAGAACACCAGAAGTACAACCTGACACTGACACGTCGACACTAATAATAATTTAAAAAATGAATAAATTAAAAGTAATTACAAGTGTAAACAGCTACCCAGACACAAACACACCTTTTTCATATGTATTGGTGCTATAGAGTTCTCCTATAATGTATAATCCATTGCAACAAAATGGAGTATCATAAATGAACACATTCATAACTCACCAATCACCTCAACAACTAATATGAATCAATATATCTATGTGTTATCATCCATTGCAATAAAATCAAACAATGTAGCTAACGATTCAGTGGTAAAGTAGTTTCGAGCTAAATCAATCTTAAATATGAAATGGATTGAATAATTACCAAAAGGTAGTGAAATCGAAGAAGCGCGGTGTTTTAGCACTAGCCATGGAAGCAATTGAAGCAGCAGCAAAACTGAACTGCGTCATCCTAAGAATCAAACCAAGAAAAGTGCCAGGTATCCCTGAGAAATCCTTCATCTTCCTTTACCAAATAACATCAATCCTCGAAACACTAAGGGCTAAAAACGAAAATCCATCTTCAGAATTCAGAATGAAGTTCAATGAATAGAACGAGAAATCGACAAAGAATCAAGGGAGAGATAGGGCAAAGGAAAATAGAGCCAGAAAGGAATAGGAGTCAAAGCGAAGATTATGAAATGAGATTTGAATTTTTTTTTTTTGTGATTATGGATACAAAGACAGCAGAAAAATAGAGTGAAAGCAACTTCTGAAATGAAACTGAAAGGGAAAATGGTAAAGAGGAGGAACTTTTTAATTATTTTTTATTTAACAAAAAATTAAAATGAAAAATTAAAATTATAAAGATTAAATATTGTTTTTTTCCTTACAAAGTTTAAATGCACTTTTAATTCTTTATCAACTATCTAATTAAGATAGTAACATGAGTAAGGAGTCTCTAGTATATCCTTTCATTACATTTGCAAATACACATAAAAAAGTTATTTTCGGTAATTACGAAATACAACTTCAATGACCAATCATAACAACCTCTTTTGCCATGTGGTGATAGTGGTCGTTTTTTTTTTTTTTTTAATAATTTTTTTCCACTTTCTCTCTTTTCTGGTCTTCTTTCTCTCTCTTCTTCCTCATTTATTGATTTTTTTTTAATCATTTCCTCTCATTCTCAAGTCATAAAAACAAATCAATGAGTATGAACGGAATTGAAAATGGATTTATCGGAAGATGTTTTTTGGCGCAAAAAAATGGCAGTAGCGATTAGGGATGATGAAATGGATTGGGCCTGCCGAGTTGACCCGTTTGACCCGTTATTTTTGGCGGACTGAGTTAAGGTTTTCGGCTCGGTATTTTAAGTTGTCCTGCCCAGTCTAACCCGCTTGAAAAAGCGGGCCGAGGTAGGGGGTTTTGCTCGCGGACTTTTTGTTAAAACTTTTTATTATTTTACTTAAAATTAAAACAACTTTAACTATAAAAACAACACTCTTTATGATTATGTTGCTTGAATTGTATCATAAATTATTATACAAATAAATTGAATTATAATTGTAACGTTCTTTTTATAACTTTCTAATACATGTGTTTATTGAAAAAACTTGAAATAAAAGAACAATGGTATGACATGCTAAATTATTAAGTTGTCAAACTTTAGCTCACATGTTTTCTTTAGAAATAGATGTTGATTTGAAGAAAAGAAATGATTTGATTAGTGTATACGTGTGACAAATTTAGGATTTAACTATTAAGGAATCAGTCAACATAAGAGTTTATATGATGTAAACAGTGAGAAAGTTAGATGTTGATATTTTATGCAATGTGATGTTTTATGTCGTGTAATTATTATCATTGTTTGTCTTTTGTAAATTCTTAATTGTTCTCTTTTAGTAGTTAGTTTTTAAATAGGATTAGGATGATATGTATTGTTTATTTATTTATTTTGATGTGTTTTTTATTGTGCTTGAGTTTATTTCGTGATTTTGTTGTTGTAATTGGTTTTTTTTTTTTAACTGTTTGAACTTAAGACTAACAAGTGTCTTCATTCCCAAGGCAATCGAGGGATATCTATTTATCAGATAGGCTGTTGTCGAAACAGCCTCCGCCCAAATCACCTTCTTTGATCCAACACTAACCAACATGCATCTAACTCTTTCAAGGATTGTTTGATTGAATCTCTCAGGTGAGCCATTTTGTTGAGGAGTACCTACTAAAGTCTTATGCCTTGCAATTCCAGACTCAACATAATAATTGTCGAACGCTTCATTGCAGAACTCAAGGTCGTTGTCGGTTCTCAACCTCCTAACCTTTCTGTTAGTTTGAGTTTTGACTAGAACCTTCCAACTTTTGAAATTCTCAAAAGTTTCATCCTTCGTCTTTTGGATGAATACCCATATCTTTCTGGAATAGTCATCAACAATGGATAGAAAATACATTGCACCTGAATGTGAAGGATTCCTTGCAGGCCCCCAAAGATCAACATGATTGTAATCCATAGATATGTGTGTTCTTTACTTGCCTTTGTTAAACTTCACCCTACAGGATTTACCAAATACACAAGATTCACAAAACTCTAACTTTTCGACTTTGTCACCTCTTAGCAAATTCTGCTTCCTCAATTCGACCATGCCTCTTTCACTAATATGGCCCAATCTCATGTGCGATAATTCTATCTTTGACATAGGTTTCGTGGAAGCAACATTTGTCAAACCACTTACAACCTCAATCTTATGAGTATACAAGGCTTGTTTCTTCACGCCTCTCAAGACTTCCTTCGACCCTTCATGACTCTTAGGATACTTTTCTCTCCTTGAAAAACATATCCCTTCATGTCGAATTCACCATGAGAAATGAAATTTCTCTTCAAATCAGGTACATATTTGACTTTAGTCAATAACCTTATTGACTCATCATGGAGCTTGAATCTCACAGATCCAATACCTGCAATTTTGCAAGATTTGTTGTTTCCCAACAACACCAACCCACCATCTTGATCACATAATTCCTCGAACAATTCTCTGTTTAGAGTCATGTGCCAAGTGTGACCTGAATCCATAATCCACTATTTTCTTGAGTCGCCACTTGAAACCACAAGAACATTAGATGAGTCGAAGTCATCTTGAACAATGGATGCATTGCCATTATCCTTACCTCCATGATCTTTCAGGCATTAAGGGCACACCTTTCTTATATGACCCTCATTCTTATAGTGATAACATCAAATACCAGATGTCTAGCCACTATAAAATTTGTGCTGACTTTTACATTTCTTCTTGTCGAACTTACCATCCTTTCATAAGAACTTTCTCTTAACGACCAAACCTTCGCCCACTGTAGAAGGTTTATGCTCCTTTCGTTCGTTCAAGTCCTTAGAATACAAGGCTGACTGAACTTCTTCAAAGCTCAGGGACTCCCTTCCATACAAGAGAGTTTCTTTGAAGTGAGCATGTGTTATGGGCAAAGCACACAACAACAACAACAATGCTTGATCTTCATCATTGATCTTCACATCAATATTTTCAAGATCAAGAATTAGCTTGTTAAACATATTCAACTACTCAGCCAACACTTTGTCTTCACTCATCTTGAATGAATACAAAGCTTGCTTCAGGTAGAGTCGACTCACCAGAGATTTGGTTGTGTACAAACTTTCAAGTTTCACCCATAACCCTGATGATGTAGTCTCCTTTGATACCTGTCTAAGAACCTTATCACCAAGGCTTAACAATATTGCGATGTGGGCTTTCTCAAGCATGATCGTCTTTTCTTTTTCCGTTAACGCAACATCCATGGTTGCCTCTCCCTTCAACGCTTTCAAACAATCCTGCTGAACTAGTAGAGCTTTAATCTTCAAGCGCCACAGGTCGAAGTCGTTCACTCCGGTGAACTTTTCAATCTCTTACTTTGTTGAAGGCATCTTCTTCTCCACGCTCACCGCACCAATTTGATATGAATAAAATGTCTTGAAACTAAATATAAACAATTTCTTTATATTCAAGAAACACACAAAGGTTAGGGTTAACAAAGAAAACAAACAAGAAGAACAAGAAACAACAAGGATTAGTTATAAATTGCTATTCTTTCATTTATCTATCAATCAAGATTACAAATATACAAGAATAACAAATAACCTCTTTCTCTTGAATTAGAATTTTATCTTCCTATGTTTCCTTATACAAGACGAGAGACTAACATGCTATTTATAAGAAAAAATAACACACTAACCTAATGGACTTTTTACGAATTACCCATTACAAGCTAATTTAGGGTACAAACTAACCTAAACAATTGAATTTACAAGCAAGACCCAATTCAACATGCTAACAAACCTAGTAATATTGACTAATGCATGTTAGAACAAACTTCGACTACAACATGCATTACTCCGACAACATACTAGAGTTCGATCCAATATCTCACAACTATTTATAGGAAAATTAAACCAAGTATCTGTCACATTAGTGACGAACAGGGCCGACCCTAGGGGTAGGTCAACAAGGCTACCGCCTAAGGCCTCACTTTTTAAAAAATATTTATATAGTTTTAATTAATTGATATTTTAAAAAAAATTTAAACTATTTTCTATACAAATTATATAACAATATCTATTAAAAGTTTCTGATAATAAGAACTATTCAAGATATATGTTGTATAATTGATTAATTTATAAATTAAGATCATCTTAAATTTTAGGAATAATCAAGGTTTAATTGCCAACAATAAATCAGGGCTCTATTTTGTTATTGTTTAAACATAATCAATAGTTTTTAAGTTCTTTTTAGCTATGATTTAATCGTGAAATTTTTTGAATTCTATCCGATAATCCCTCTTACACACCATTAAAGAAGGTCATGTTAAAAGTCATACTTATAAATAATAAACTTTTAAACTCCTTTATATAAAATACTTGAAATTGAAGTTTTTTTTAAAGAATTTTGGTAATATTTTTTCAATTTTGTTTTTTATAAATGATTAAGATGTGTTGATTTTATAATTGATTAAATTTTAAAAAATCTAAAATAAAAATTCATTAATCTAAAATAAAAATATTTTTATTATATTAAAATATTTAATTTAAATTTTTGCATCAGGCCTCAAAATGTGTTGCACCAGCCCTAGTGACGAATCATGTTGGTGGCAATTATTGGCTTGAATTCTTATTCAACAAAATTAAAATTTGCCAATAACAACGAGAGAAAGTGGTGTGTAGAGAGTTTTAATTACGGGGGCGGGGACGAGGATGCTAGTATCCTCCCCACACCCACTCTGACTTGACCTATTATATTTACGTTATTACACTTACTATTAATAACTTTATTATTCGTTTACCCTTCTTATTAATCTTAAGATAACATATTTATTAGAATTATTATTTTTTTTTAAAAGTAAAGATTAAATAATACTGATCAAGTATTATGATTATTATTAAAATCGTTAAATATTTAGTTTAGTTATTAATTTTGATGCTATGAAAAAACATACATTTAAAAAAAAATATTTTCTACTGGTGGATAGCCCAACTCTATGCAGGAGGCAGCAGGTTCTATAAAATAGAGCCCATATTTTGGATGGTTCAAAAATGTTTAAAATCCAATTTTTTTAGATTAATATTAATAAATATAAAAAGTATTGTAAACTAAATTAAATAAATTAAAAAATATTATAATAAAAATCCAATACATTAAAAAAAATGAGATTGATCGGAGTCAAAATAATTATAATTAAATCTTATGTTTATTAATACATAATTATATTTTTTATGTGTCATTTTTAATTATTTTTATTATACCTTTTTTATTTTATTTTTAAATTTGACCCATTTTTAAATTAAGTGGGTGCTGAGGCAGAAAAATTAGTTTAACATTAGATGTATGACTGGGTGATCAATTGTTATAACGCGATTGAATTTGAGGCTCAATTGTTATATCACAGTTGAATTTGAGGCGAAAACATAATTACAACATGAAAAATAAAAAAGTTCAAAATACTTAAATCCGTCTCACCCGCCCCATTCTCATACCTATTCAATTTCAAACATGCATAATAAATGAAATTGAATTTGTAGATATTCTAACATCATGTTTCAAAGCATATCACACACACGAATAAATGTTAGGGATTTTCTTCAACATCAAAGGACTTTATGATTTATAATTTCTCACTTTACTAAATTCCTAAAATATCTTAGATGAGTCATATAGTATCATACACATGCGAATTGTTATTATGCCACCTTAAAAACTTAAAATACACAAATGTTAATTATACTTTCCCTATTCTCTTTTATAAATATATTTTAGTTTTTAAATTTATTGAATTATATATATATATATATATATATATATATATATATATATATATATATATATATATTTTTTTTTTTTCTTCTTTCTTTCAAGAAAATAAGTCTTAATAATTTAAATTTTTATCTGAAAGGTATGTAATCTGGTCAAATATTACTCTCATCAAAAATCGAATTTACTATTTCTTTAATTTTCGTTTCTTTCTAAACAAGGATCATTTACTATTTAACCTAAGTGCTTGATTAAATAAAAGTCGTATTTGATGGTAGAAAAATATTTAAAATCTAACTAATTAAACAACATGATGCAAATCGCTTTACACTATTTTTATCGAAGATAATTGTAAAACTAGCTAAGAACAAATATCACTATATAAAATTATTAATATGTAGTATATGAAGCAAAATTGGATTGGGATAGCATCACGAGGATTTCTATTAAATCAAAATTATTTCATTTTAAAACTAATAATGTAAATTATTGGAGGGAAATTTACATTACTAATTACTACTAATTATTACAATTACCAAAACAGCGAAATCAAAAAACTCGCGCCATTCTCAGTGTAAAAGGCGCGCTTCTTTTCACCTTTTATAAACTCACTTTCTTCGTAATCTTCAATTCCATTTGTTTTAAAAGTTTTCTTGTTTTGTTTTTCTGTTTTCGTTAACTTATTTTCTTATATTTCTGCATATCCATGACGGAACGTTCTCGAAAAGAAGAGAAAGTTTTCAGAACAATGGAAAACGACAATGTCGTTTTTAGAAACGGAAATCCAGTTCTCGTCGCTCAGCCACTCACCGTTGTCCGTGCCCTAACCAGCAACGGCGGCGCTCGCGTTCTTGCTACGCCGCCTAATCTGAATCCTAACTCCGACGTGTTTGAACCATGCAAAACCCCGATGAACAAGGTGAACGACGAGCCTCAAGAAGATGTCAAACCTTCCGTGGAGCAGCGTTCAATGCTCTTGTTTGACGATTTTCTAAAGGCTACGAACGCACAAGTTGCCACTGTTGACGAATCAATGAAATCAATGGAAGTTGAATCAATTATTCAAAAGAATACTGAGAGCGCCGATGTTGATGTGGTTAATGAGACTCAGGAATCGCTTAAGGCCGGATTGGTATATGAATCGGTGAAGTCAATGGAAGTTGAAGAACCTATTCGAACCGAGGAAGAAGCTGTCAGTATCAATGTGATTGGTGAGACACAGGAATCGGTCATTGCTGATCCAATTACTGAAACAACGCAGATTCGATCAAATGAAGAAGCTTACAAGGAGAAGCAAATAGATAGTGATGAATTGGAGGTGTTGAAGGTAGTGAAAAGGAAAGAAGCTGCTGTTAATGACGAAGTTAGGGTTTTGAAGGCGGTGAAGAAAGATGTAGTGGAAGAGAAGAAGATTCTGAATCTTGAGGATGGTGAGTTTCCTGTTGAACCTGGGTGGTCATTGCTTGGAAGGAAGATTGAGGTTGCTACTTCAACAGCTAGAGGACTAAAAAGATTGGTGGATAATGAGATTGTTTATTTTAATTTCCCTGACCCAAATACCTCTTACAAGTTCCAATGGATTGTTCGTGTCTCTACCAAGCGTTCTGGAGTGGTAATAATAATATAAATTGATTGAATGCTTACTATTTAAAATTGTTTTGTTATTTAAATACAATGTTGTTTGATTTTAGGCTTTTGTGGAAAGGAATCAAAGGTCATATATTTTGGTTATGTTGTTGTATTTAACACTTTAGGTTGGGAGGCTGCCAATGGAATGGGCAAAATCCGTCATGCCTCTTGTGCAGACTGGAAATGTTAAAGTTCGAGGCCGATGCATTGCCACACCATACAAATTGGAAATGATGCAAGAAATAATGTTGTTAGTAAGGTATGGGTAACTTCTTGGGTTCTTCTGTTAGCTTAGTTAACTTGGCTATTTCACTTGTATATGATGTTTCGTTTATTGGTGGATGAACCTAGTTGATTGTTCTATGGACAGTTTTTATGTTCATCAATCTGTATTCTTGGAGTCTGTTGATACCTCTTGGAGGCTAGAGGCTTGTGGCCACATTAACTCTGCTGCTTACCCCCTCCTTACACTGTTACACATGCTAGAGATTGAGCCATATAGGAAGGTATTGAATCACTATTTTTTAATTGCTTTGTTTGTTTGTTTTATTTGTTTTATGTTGCGTTTCTAATGTGCTGTTATTTTTAATTAGGCTGATTTCACCCCTGAAGAAATGAAGGCTCGGAAGCGGATTCTTAAAGTATGTTCAACTATTTTCATTCTTTTCTGCCCTTTTATAGCCTTTGGCTTTCATGATATGATATTATTGTTTAAATTGAATTGAATGTCTGTTGTGAATGCATGCTAGAGGCATAATTCTTCTGTTTATATTACCAGCTTGATTCAGATGAAGCTTCAGTTTTGCCTGTTAATAAGCGTAGAAAAGGCATCAGTGAGCCACTTCCAGAGCCAAATGAGAATGAACAAGCTCTTTCAGAGTCAGCTTTGAATAAACTTGTTGGAGCCGCTGAAGTCTTTGACTTACAGGTGTATAAATTGTGTTCCAATTTCAATCGATAGTCTTCAACTTCTCTTTCTCGTGTGTCTGTGGCCAACCCATTTATGTCTTGTGTATCTTTAGGAGAAGGAAGCACCAAAACCCCTGATGTGTAGTCTTAAGCCCTACCAGAGTCAAGCACTGTATTGGATGACAGAAATTGAGAAGGGAGCTGATGATGAAAATGCTGATAGAAATCTACATCCTTGCTGGTCAGCCTACAATATATGCAATGGGTAAGTACTTGTAGTACAAGGTTCCTCAAACAAAATGTAGTTTTTACCTCAATATCATCAGTATACAATTTAACCTGGCATATTTTTTTTATCAGAAAGACAATTTATGTGAACATATTTACTGGGGAGGCGGCAAAGAAATTTCCACAAGCAACACAGAGAGCAAGAGGAGGAGTGAGTTTGTTTCAAGCCATCAATTTCAAAACTCCACATGCAACATACTCTTTGAACTGTTTGTCTTATTCCAATTTTGTAATTTTTTATGGTAGATTCTGGCGGATGCAATGGGACTTGGAAAGACTGTTATGACAATTGCCTTGATTCTAAGTAATCCAGGCAGGGTGAAGTCAGAAGACAGTAATGCAGAGAGCCTATATGACAGCATTTTCACAACTAAGAGGAGGAATATTAACAATGTAGAGGGTGGCACTCTGATTGTTTGTCCCATGGCATTATTGGGTCAATGGAAGGTGAGATTCCTCTAATTAAGCCAATGGAAAAAAGCATGATTTTATTTATATCTCTATTTATGTGAAAGGCAATTTACAAGGATTTATAATATTCAGGACGAGCTTGAAACACATTCAAAATCAGGCAGCATATCTATATTTGTTCATTATGGTGGGGGTAGAACTGATAATGTTGATTTGTTGTTAGAGTATGATGTTATCTTGACAACATATGGTGTCCTATCAGCTTCATACAAAAGTGTAAGGAAATGTTTATTTGTATTTTATTTTCATCAATTTAAATACCAAACCTTCCTCATTTTGGACTCCCTGAGTTTTTGAAACCAGGATAGAGAGAATAGCATCTACCACAGGGTCCAATGGTTCAGAGTAGTGCTAGACGAAGCTCATCATATTAAAGCCCATAAAAGTCAGGTTGCCCAGGCTACTATTGCCCTGTCCTCACACTGCCGCTGGTGTCTAACTGGAACACCGCTCCAGGTTAATTATTGAGAAACATTATGTGTAATTTATAGAATTGCTAGTAGAAAAGTAGTCCTCTTATACAATCTGAACATGTTTCTTTTATCAACATTTCAGTACTAATTACTTTATTACTATAATGAGCTTATAGTTATCAAGCAAAAGAGTTTGTTGTCGAGAATCTCTTTCTGAAATGTGATGTTCTCTGTTCCAGAATAGTTTGGAAGATCTATTCAGTCTCTTGTCTTTCTTGCGTGTTGAACCTTGGTGCAGCTGGCAGTGGTATGTCAAATATTAGGCTATATTGTAGCTAGTGTAAATTGATCATTGTTTTGGAAATAAATTATCTGAAGACTTGTACTTCATAGTTCTTTGTTACTATTTTTTAATTTGCTTTGTAATATAGGTGGACTAAGTTGATTCAAAAGCCCTATGAGCAGGGTGATCAAAGAGCCCTGAAATTGGTCAAGGGAATTTTGAGGACCTTGATGCTAAGAAGAACCAAGGAAACAAAGGATAAAGAGGGAAGGTAGCCCATTCTCACTTCACATGAATTGTCTCTTTCAATATGAATGAGTGAATTTCTTTATTTATAATGATAGATATCAATTATGCTTATGTTTTTTCAGGCCTATACTTGTCTTGCCACCAACTGATATTCAATTGATTGAGTGTGAACAGTCAGAATCTGAACGGGACTTCTATGATGCTCTCTTCCTGAAATCTAAAGTAAGTTGTCCATAGCTTGCTGCTATCTGTAAGTATTTGAACAGTAACTTGTTTCACAATTGTCATCTTTTCATAAAGTGGTAGTTTTGGAAACTGTAATTACCCTCTAATGTTGCTTTTACTAGAAACTTGTTCTACCTTCAATTGCTGGGTTTCGGGAGGTAACTATTTGTGTTTGAGATGTAAACTATTTCATTCAATTCAAACAGGTCCAATTTGAGCAATATGTTGCACAAGGAAAGGTTCTTAACTACTATGCAAATATCCTTGACCTACTAACTCAGTTAAGACGTTGCTGCAACCATCCATTTTTGGTCATGAGGTGGGTGTGGCAGACACATTAAATTGTTCTTCTCATTCCTAATTCTTCTATTAATAATAAAATGATTTGCAATATGTGCAGTGGAAGTGATCCTGCAAAGTATGCAGATTTGAGCAGACTTGCAAGAAAATTCCTCAATTCTCATTCTGAATCATCTGATATGTGCTGTGAAAGTGATACACAGCAAAATGCAAAATTGAACAAACTTGCTAGTAGATTCCTACAGAATTCTATTTCTTCTTCCCATTCTATCCAATCTCATGGATACATTGATGAGGTGTTGGGTCATATTCAAAAGGGTGAAACTGTAGAATGCTCTATATGTTTGGAATCACCTGAAGATCCTGTTTTTACACCATGCGCACATCAGTTTTGTAGAGAATGCCTATTCAATTGCTGGGGTACCTCAATGGGTGGCAAGTGTCCAATCTGTCGTCAATCACTCAAGAAAAATGATCTTATTATACTTCCATCAGAAAGCCCATTCAAGGTTGATACTGAGACCAATTTGACGGAGTCTTCAAAAGTTTCAAGGCTGTTTGATTTCTTAGAACATATTCAGAAATATTCTGATGAAAAAAGTATTGTTTTTAGCCAATGGACTTCATTTTTTGATCTGTTGGAAAATCCATTAAGGAGGAGAGAGATAGGATTTTTAAGATTTGATGGAAAGTTGACTCAGAAGCAGAGGGAAAAGGTTTTGAAAGAATTTAACAACACAAAAGAGAAAAGGGTAAGTTAAATAAAAATAGAACTGTTTATTGTTTTCAATGAACTAAACATCACCTGAGTCGCTGATCTTTTTACTTTTTTTCCTATTGTTCTGTTTTAGGTTTTGTTAATGTCACTAAAAGCCGGTGGCGTGGGCTTAAATTTGACTGCAGCCTCAAATGTTTTCCTAATGGTATGCATAGCCTTTACCTAATAGGCTACTTGTGGCTGTGATATGGAACTGTAATTTTCTGAGTTTTTTGTAATGAAAATGCAGGATCCATGGTGGAATCCCGCTGTTGAGGAGCAAGCAATAATGAGGATTCATCGTATTGGGCAAAAGCGAAGGGTTACTGTAAGAAGATTCATTGTAAAGGTTAGCTAATTCAGTTTCCCAACTTTCAAAGAACTGTTGGTGCATGCAATAATCATAATACACATGCACATGCTCAAAACCAAAACATACCTATCACCAACATCTTAATCATTAGTCAAATTTTCCTGGGTGAAACATGTTGATTAAGCATTGATTCACATATTTTACTAATTTTCTTATAAGACATGTCACCGACATCCAAATCATGGGTCAAATGTTCCCTAATTGAACATTTTAATTAAACTTGGATCACATATTTTATTAGTTTTCCTATCAGGAGACATGGATGGGCGACCCCTTTGATTATTTATGCTGCATATCTTGACTTTTCAATTCAGCAGCTGAATTTTATGCCTTTCTCATTATTTTATATTGAGTATCTTAAGCTTATATAATTGTATAAAAGATGCATTTTTCTCCCTTTGATCACGTTTTCTATAAGCAATCTCCCTCATTCTATTTTGGGGTCACATGTCCTCAAAAGCATACCAAACATGTTTTGTTGACTTAACACAATTTTTTTTTGTTAACTAATGGACATAGTCGTTGTTATTGTGAATAGAACACAGTGGAAGATCGTTTGCAACAAGTGCAAGCCAAGAAACAGAAGATGATATCTGGTGCACTCACTGATGATGAGGTTCGGACTTCCAGGATTCAAGATCTCAAAATGCTATTCTCATAGGATAATTTATCGTGAAGCTGATCTCTCATTTAGTCTTTCTATTTATTGAAGTTTTATTTAGTCTTAGATCTAGAATGAACCTCACATTGTATAGGTGGTAGCGTTCTACCAAATGGCTTCGTTATCTTTTGTGTGCCTTTTTTTGTGTTATGATATAGTCCAGACTCTGGAAAAAAACATAGCAGTTTTGTAAATTTGGCGGCACTAACAGTTGAAGTTAAAGTAGTTACTTTTGTCTGGTTTTGCAAATGGAGCCCATATGTGATCTAGTCCTATTAAAAAGAAATTACAAAAGGCTAACTAACCATCTAAATGAGGCAGAATACACCTCTAAAATCTTCATTGAAACAACTTTACATTTTCTTAATTTCTGTGTCATGCAATAAGTCATTTGTTTATTAGTACTAGTAGAAGATTTACGCGAGTAAGTTCATTCATAAATTATTTTTTACCAAAAAATATTAGTTAAAAAACAACTTTGATAGTATTGAGATGCATAACAAAAATTACATTCATTGTTTAAATCATAATGAAAGGATAGAGATGGCATAAATAAAATGACTACAATCTCACCTCCTTCGTAAAAGTGGATATATTGAGCTTCATAAAAGTACAATAATTATGAATAATAGAAATATAGTATATCTAACAAAATAAAATTGAAAAGTAAAGTGCAAATATTGTAGATTAAATTGATATGGTATGACTTGTATGAAGCAATTGCAGGGTTCACAAATCCTACAAACATGAAAAAAAAGAATGGATAATTAGTAGAATATTAAAGTTGTAAAGAAAAATGTGAGATGTTGAAAGAATGAGTTATATAAGCATCAAGTGAAATATATTGTTGAATAAACAAAACTATACTACTACTAACTATTACTACTACTCAAAAGTGCTCGAATGAGCATAATCTTGTAAAGTTTTCCTCTTTAAAACCTTAGAATTACAACAATGTTAAAACTCTAGAGGGAGAACTGCGTCTGCTTGTGTGATTCTACAAGATCTACTTTAAAATATTAGTCACTATTCAGCTACTGTGGCAGAGACATATTTCTCAGTTCCAGTTCTACCAAATTAACATAGCACCAATAATATCATATTTGTAATGCCTAGTATTACATTTATAGGAAGTGGTTAATTTTTATTCAATGATGTACAACGAAATTATTAGTCATATGTAATTCTGTTAGTTAGTTAAGTTTTCTGTTATATAAGCATCAACTTATTGTCTTGTAATTACAATGCAATGTGTGTGAAATAAATGCATAGAACACATTTCCTACTTCCATATCTTCTTATCAAGCATCAATAGAAAATTTCAGCAAGAACATTCATCAAACAGGTTGTTACATTCATCACCATTGTTCCATCAAATTGGTATCACAGAGCCCAGTTCGATAGTTGCTGCCAGAGATTCGTGAGGAATGGGAACTCATAACAACAACATCTCTACGCATCTGCCAGTGTTCGAAGGCAAGAACTTTGATCAATGGATCGTAAAAATGAAGGTGATCTTCAGGTTCCAGGAGGTTCTTGAAGTTGTAAATGAAAGAGTACCAGCTTTAGCAGTAAATGCAACTGAGGTACAACAAACAACTCACAAAGAATTGAAGAAGAAGGATGGGAAAGCCATGTTCTTGATCCATCATAGTGTAAGCAATGAAATCTTTGAGAAGATCATGCATTATGAAAGTGCAAAGGAGACATGGGATGCAATGGAGAAACTGTATTCTGGCGATGGAAAATTGAAGAAAGTGAGACTTCAAGCATTAAGAAGGCAGTATGAAGTGTTGACAATGGAAGAAGAAGACACCATCCGTCAATATCTGGATAAAGTGATCACACTCACAAATCAAATGACAAGAAATGGTGAAATTTTCACTAATGTGATGAAGATTGAGAAGGTTCTCAGAACCTTAACAACAAGATTTGATCACATTGTAGTTGCGTTGGAGGAATCCAAGGACCTAGACTCCATGAAGATAGAAGAATTGCAGGCAAGTATTGAGGATCATGAGCTGAGGTTGACTAATAGGATCAAAGGAAGAGGCAAAGGTGCATCTTCGGATCAAGCATTGCAGGCAAGTCTTGAGGCACATGAGCTGAGGTTGACTGATAGGATCAAAGGAAGAGGCAAAGGTGCATCTTCGGATCAAGCATTGCAGGCCTAGTGTGTGAAGAAAGGAAAATCCAAGAAAGAGATTCAGTGCTATAATTGTCAGAAGTGGGGACACTATGCATCTGAATGCAGATCAAAAAGGGTTCCAAGGAGCAAAGATGAAGCTCAGTTTGCTCAGAATGAGGAATCAGACTCGGATGAAGTATTGCTGATGGTAACAGTTAAGGATGAAGAAGAAAAAAGTGGTGAATGGTACTTAGATACTGGGTGCTCAAATCATATGACAGGCAAGAAATCTTGGTTCTCTGAACTAGATGACTCAGTAAACTGAAAGATAAGATTTGCAGACAATAGCATAGTGTGTGCAGCTGGCATTGGGAAAATATTGATCAATAGGAAGGATGGTAAGAAAGCTTGCATTACTGATTTGTTGTATGTACCAAACATGAAGAGCAACCTAATCAGTATTGGTCAATTATTACAAAAAGGGTACACTAGGAAGATGGAAGCACAAGCTATGAAGGTTTTTGATAACAAGGATAAGTTGATTCTTAAAGCTCCATTGTCAAAGCAAAGAACTTTCAGAATCAACATCAATGTGATTGAAGATCAGTGCTTGTTATCTAAAAGTAAGAATGAAGACTGGCTATGGCATCAAAGATATGGGCATATTAATTTTAGGAATTTGAATATGCTTCATGAAAAGAAAATGGTGCAAGGCCTACCAAAATTAAAGTTGCCTGAAGAAGTATGTGATATGTGTTGCACTGGGAAGCAAGCCATAAATTCATACAATGTAGAGGTACCATTCAATGTAACTAGAAAGCTCGAGGTAATTCACTCTGATGTATGTGGACCTTTTGAAGTAAAGTCAGTAGGGGGAAATAGCTACTTTGTAACATTCATAGATGAATTCACTAGGAAATTATAGATTTACTTGTTAGCTAAGAAAAGTGAAGTGTTGGGTGTGTTTAAGAAGTTTAGACTGCTAGTTCAAAATGAAAGTGGTGAAGTAATTAGTAGGTTGAGAACTGATGGAGGAGGTGAGTACACTTCCACTGAGTTTCATGAGTTTTGCTCATCAAATGACATAAGTCATGAAGTCACTACACCATACACACCTCAACACAATGAGATCTCAGAGAGGAAGAACAAAACCTTGGTAAATATGATAAGAAGCATGTTGAAGCAAAAGAAGATGCCTCATTACTTGTGGGGTGAAGCAGCTGCTACTGCAACATATCTCATAAATAGAAGTCCCACAAAGAAGTTGCAAGACAAGACACCAGAAGAAGCATAGTGTGGAGTTAAACCAAGTGTTCAACATTTGAAAATATTTGGCTCATTGTGTTTCAGACATGTACCTGACCAACTAAGGAGGAAATTGGATGATGAATCTCAAGTAATCATTATGGTTGGTTATCACCCAACTGGTGCCTACAAACTATATGATCCAAGTAATAGGAAAATAGTGTTCATTAAAGATGTAAAGTTTGATGAATCAAAAGGCTGGAACTAGAAATATAAGGTATCAAATAAGTGCGACAACCATTTATATCTATCTGACTCAGAGACAGAAGAAGTTGAGACTGAGGAACAAGAAGAAATTGTTGAAAATACAAATGAAGGAGGTTCATAAGTGACCAATAGACCAACAAGGAATACTCAACCACCAACCAGGTTGAGGGATTATGAGAGGTTCCCTGGTCAAGTAGTTACAGATGAAGGTGACATAGTACAACTAGCAATGCTTGCTGAAACTGAACCAGTGTCTTTTGAGGAAGCTCTTAAACAAAAACACTGGAAGAAAGCAATGATTGAAGAGATAGATTCTATAGAGAAGAATGAAACATGGAGATTATTTCAACTACTTGCTGATAAGAAGTGTATTAATGTTAAGTGGGTTTTCAAAACAAAACTGAAGCCAGATGGTCAGGTGGCAAAATATAAGGCTAGACTAATAGTAAGAGGCTTTCTACAGAAGTATGCACATGATTACTATGAATCTATGCTCCAGTAGCAAGAATGGAAACAATCAGATTGATTGTGACAATAACAGTAAAGAACAATTGGTCTATGTACTAGCTAGATGTAAAACTGCTTTTCTCAATGGTGAGTTAGAAGAAGAAGTGTATGTGAATCAGCCACCAGGATTTGAGATAGAGGGAAAGGAAGAATATGTCTATAAGCTAAATAAAGCACTGTATGGGTTGAAGCAAGCCCTAAGGGCTTGGAACAAAAAGATAGACAATTTTCTTGTTCAACAAGGTTTCATGAAGTGTGTGAATGAACATGGAATCTATTGTAGAAATACCACAAATAAGCTCATTGTGTGCTTGTATCTAGATGACATGATAGTCATTGGAAACAATGAAGCTGAGATGAAGGACTTTAAGAGAAATATGATGAAGATGTTTGAGATGTCTGATTTAGGCAGTCTCACATATTACCTGAGAATTGAGTTTGAAAGGAATACACAAGGAATGGTGATTCATCAAAGGAAGTATGCTCAAGATTTGTTGAAGAGGTTTAACATGCTGAATTGCAAGCCAGCTTCAACTCCTGTTGATACAGGAGTAAAATTGTCCCTGGTAAATGATGAAGAAGAAGTAAATCCAACATTGTTCAAACAGATCGTGGGCTCCTCGAGATACTTGTGCCATACAAGACCTGATATTTCCTATGATGTAGGGTTGATCAGTAGATACATGGTGAAACCTACCACCTCACACTTAGTTGCAGCTAAGAGAATCTTGAGATATGTGAAGGGTACACACATGTATGATATTCAATATTGTAAGGGTTAAGATAGTGAGCTAATAGGCTATGCAGATTTGGATTGGAGTGGTGATAAAGATGATAGAAAAAGCACAACAAC